ACGACACCAAATTATGAAGCGTGGATAAAGTTCGTAAGTGCATTTCCCATTCCTGAATAAGCGCAGATAAAAGTCATGCCAATTAGAGAGTTTACTAGCGCTAAGGGCTGTTAGGAGGAAATGTATTGAGATAAATTGGAGTGATGTAACGATGGGGCTTGGCCGGGTCATTAGGGGATAACTCAAAAACAAATTCTAATGGATCTGCTATCAGTCTCCCGCTCTTCTCCTTATCATACTTCTGCGCTAATGTATTTCTCAAACCGTACATTATAAAATGTTCCTTTCGAAAAGGTAAATATATTCAAATCACAGACTATCATCGGTGGAAAGAAGATATCATAAAAAGTTCAGAACGAAAATTTACTGATAATGGGGGAAAATATAATGCAGTTATCTTTTACGGATTCTGGAAATAAATTATTGCGTAGGATTTTAGGACCGAAGGAGCCAACCGCAGATTTCAGATGGCTAATCAAGACCGGAAAAAAATGCGCATGAAAAATTATTGCGCTAAGCGGCATACGAATCCCTAAAAATTAATAAGTATTCCGACTTGAGCATCTGAGGTGATAGACGAAGCGAAGGTGGTTAAAGTTGATCTAGAGACGTTCGGAAGGAGGTCGGTGGATGAAACTGAGTAGACAGCAAGTGATGGTTTCGGCATCAACCCAGCGAGAACCCGAATTCTCAAAGTCTGTTATTGTTATTATCCTTTAATCATTGAAGGAAGTTTGTCGACTGTTTTACACATCATAGGTAATAAATGGTCAGAACGCAGGCATTTTAAGATTTATATTTTTGTCAACTGCTTCCTGACTGTTTATCAGATAATAATAAATATCTAACAGGCGTAAAACTGCTAGTTTATCAATAACTTATCAGCCGTTAAATAATAATTGATAATCAGGGTTGTGCAGGAGTGTTGAAGTTGTTTTTAGCCAGTTTGTGTGTGTAACGTTTCAGTGATTTACTGTCGTAGTTTCCTTTAGTTTGTATTATGATTTTCAGAAACTGGTGTAAGCTCAAAAAATCTTTTTGACTAACGTTTTATTGGTGAAAACATGGCGGATAATTAAGTGTATCGTAGGTGATAGCTTATAATTCTCTTGCATATGTTTTGAATAACTTCGAGATTTATGTTAACGATTCAAAACCAAGCCACGTATATTCCTCCCTACGGAAGGCTTTATATCTACATACGCCCATCGACACCAACTCAGTACCTACGAAAAACTACGAACGGTTCATCGGATCACTAGCGGAACTAGGATTTAATTATTTTTTTGGGGAGATGGGAGGTTCAGCCAGAAAGCTTTTATATAGGTAACGATTATTACTTTGAAAGAAGAAAGATCCTAACTGCCTATATGCAATTGTGATTAAGCGATTCTTAAAGTCATGATAAATGTAGTGTTGCCCAAATGCGAGACCGAGACGAGTCTTTGTCTTGGGCAAGAGTCTCGCAACAGTCTTTCAGTTACTCATTAGCTTATTACTATAGAGATATTACTGTAATTTTTTAGATAGAAGAAAATTAAGTAAGCCCGAAAAATTAGAGGAGTAAAATGCAAAAGTAAATTGGTTGTACCAATTATTAACATACAGTAACTAAGATTGCCAAGTATCAGTAACTATTTTGCCTTAATTTTTATTTAAAAAATCGATTTTTTTTTTACCAGTCCTGGTCTTGCAGCCAAGATTGATTTTGGTTAATAATAATAATAATAATAATAATAATAAAAGGCTTAGCGAACCCGAAGGTTCGATGCCGACACCACCAATCGTTTATTACACACCTCCCTCCAACGTTCGCCGTCCAAACCCAGTCCCTTCAGATCGGCTTTAATGCAATCTTCCCACCTTCGCTTCGGTCTACCCCTCGGACGCTTACCATTCGGCAACGCAAATATTAACCTTTTAGGAATTCTCTCGTTACTAAGCCCAATAACTTTACAAGCCCATTTGATTCGCCGCGATGAAATTACCTCAATTATATTACCCGGGTACAGCTCATGCAATTCGGCGTTGTGTAACCGTCTGAACTCTCCGGTTGATTTTGGGTAACACTAGTTAAATGTAATCACACGAACAATAATACTTTTAGAGATAATTTTTTAACACTTATTTCATTAGTCAAGGTTATATTTTACCATCTGGGGGGAGGCTTCAGTCCGAAAGCTCCCCTCCTCCCACTCTCCCCCGTAGATCCGCCTATGCTTCGGGTTGCTATACCAAAGACTTATTTAGAACATGCCTACAAAATTAAAAAGACAAGAACTAACAAGAAGACAAAACCAATTCGCACATCTTCTGAACTATAAATCCTCTCTTTAATAAAACTTAATTGTGACTAATCTACAACACTATATTGAGACAAATTCGGACGTACGGAGCTGGTATTTAGGGTTCTTAAAAACAAACACACATAAACAAAATACAAACGACACAATCCAAAATTCCTCAAAAAATTGTAAACGCGCCACGGTATATTTCAAATCACACTATACATAATGAATTAAATATTTCATGAAGAGAAGGATGGTTGGGATGAGCAGTTAGAAATAAGAAGGCAAAAATAAATAATAATATTTATTTTAACAATATTTAAAAATTTATTTATTTGGCAAATTTTAAAATAAATATTATTATTTATTTTTGCCTTCTTATTTCTGACTGATCACCCTAACCATCCTCCTTTTCATTATTCACGACAGGCAATCATTAACCCACAATTATAAATATTCCTTAGTCCACAACAAATATTCTACATTGCATTCCTCGACACAAAATCACCTCAATCTACTCGTTCTATCAATGTCCTCCTATTTGTTAGAATGCTCAACACTACTAATTAGAATGAATAAGCTCCACAGATCTGTAGATTCATCAACAACTCAAAAAATCATTCAATATCACAATAAAACAAGGCCATTTTCAATAAAAATCACAGAAACTAAGAAGTTACAAAAAAATTATGCTAACTGCGCAGTTGCAAATGGAGAAAAGGAATAAAATAAAATTTCTGTAATTAGACTCGCATAACAGAATAAAAGATACATCTTAGGGGGATAACTGCTTTAGATAGGATCAGTTTATTTTTTGAAGTTAATTGGGAGTATCTCCTGAAATATGGGAACATTTCGCTAATCATCCCGTCATATAACGTGGAACGGTTACTAGCTTCGGTTATCGCAGTGCTCTCAACTGATATTGATATGGACTGGCTCTAAAATATTTCAGCCATATCTCGAGCGGCCCGGAGCGAGGGACATTAAAGATTTATCCGTTAGGTCGGGGATGAGCCTAAGACAGGAAGGCGCCGCGGCTCATTAGCCCTAAGTGGCAACATTGATCCAATACAATAAACCCGGGGCCCGGGGCGGGGAGTTGAACTGTTTTGTTCAGATATGGGATTACATTTCTTCATCTTCATCTCCCCGCCCCCTCCTCCTATCTATCTATCTTTGAGAGCAACTTACTTACGAAGATTAAAAAAGATAACCGGGAAGGATGAGCACGCCCTGCCGGAGTTTGATGGAATTAATAAAACAAAACAAGATAACACTAAATCCAAGGTTATAACCCCCACCCCTCGGTCGGTCTGAGTTAATTGGAACAGTCCTCCGTCTTCTTCATGCACTCCTTTTATCAGAATTTTTCTTTATTTTTCTTCTTCTTTTTTTCTCGCTTCTTTATGCTAAGTTCGTCCGATACAGGGGACATTTGACCTAATTCCGACAGGTCCTTATTATGAACATGTTTTCTTTTAAAATTGAAAAGATAACATGAATTTGGGCTCATCAATATCGATCAAATTTGCCACTTAAAGGAAGTATAAATACACATGCGAAAATAGGAACAATGATAAGGGATAAGCAAAATATAATTTGCTTTGGGATATATATTAAACAAACGTTGTTTAGGCAACTTTTACAATTATGGCAAAATAACTATCATGAGTTTCAATAAGGCAACATTTTAAATTTTATGGTAAAATTCTAGTTTTTAAGCAGTGGACTGTATCTTAAGCGATTGGTAGGTTAATGATTGCTAATAGCTTACCGTCTATATGCCATAATCTTTTTTACCTTGGAAGGCCCTCCGTCTGTCCTTGCTGGTTGAATGCTGGTCAAGTAGTGGCTTCGAGTCAAATAAGTATTTTTTATCTTTTATATTTTAGATCTGCCCCCACCACTCGCCGTAACGCGGAAAATTTAAATGAAAACCGTTCTTTGGCCAACCAAACGTCTTTAACTGATCAAATAACTAAACCGTTTTATAATCTTTATGAGGACCAGGGGTGTCATGAACGGGGTCGGTGGCAATACGCAAATTGCGCTCTCAAATTTACATTTTTACTAGGTTATGATTCTTTGAGGATATAGCACATATTAATTGAGTTAAGATTTTTGGAGGGAACCATATTTTTGTGACGTATCAATTGAGAAGAGCATTAACACCAAGGAACCAAAAAAATAAAATAAAAAATTAAACTACACATATAATTTTGCTTTTATTTGTACTATTCTTAAGATGAAGGGAGCAATAAAATATGTAAGGAAAAAGGAATGAATATCTCTGATCTCGAATATAAACTAAAAAATGAAATAAAAACAATACAACTAAAGATAGCCAACCAAATCTCTAAACAACTAATACAGCCTATCCATACGAGTATAGGTAAGGTTTGAAATAACCATTACAGTTGAAACTACCAAGTGATAAGCGTTACTTATATTTTGGTTAGGTAAGTCTGTTGACATGAGATGTGGTATTTCAAATAAAGTATTCTGTATTAATATAGAAATTGACATAAAAGACACTGAAAGGTAATGTATTGGCTGCTATTTGAAAACTTTGATTTGGAATTATTTGATAATAACATTTTAGTCTTTGTAACACTCCAATGTCCAGTTGGTTTGAAACAGTTATAGAAGGTTTGTCCCTCCTTCTCCCCCTCATACATTTCCTAGGTGTATAATATATAAATTCATAACTCACCTTATGTAATCGTTTTTGCAGAGTATCATATTGGATTTGGTAAAGCAAGAGGACCCGATGTCGGCCAGCATCGCCCCGCAGCATGTGCACTTGAGGCAGGAGTTGTGCCAGTAACGGTCCAGTGCGTGGAGTAAGTATCGTTCAACGATTTTACCTGAAACATAAAAACATTATAGGTAATTACTTCTTTCCAAAGAACTTATTTACTGAAGATTACTAAATGAAAAAGTATAAATATTTAAATATATTAATAACATAAAGGTTAGATTACAACAAACAATCTCCCTTTACGTACTCCAGTTTTCTTGATAACCTGGTAGAAAATCTACAGGATCAACGAAAGGACACGTCTTATTTTCCAAGTCCTGCATGCTGTGGAAATCAGAACCTACCTTAATGTACCACTAAATCTATTCCTATAAGAGGAATATAATTTAAAAATCTGATGAAAACAGGTGTTAATAATGGTCAAATAGTGACCCTATTTAAGCATTATGGAATGATGCCCCACTGACTCACAAAGAGAGAGACCTCCCTCACACAGATGCGATATGTTACAGGGAGATGACAGATGCGCAACTGGAACCGGTTCACAGCGGCCAAGGACTGTTGTTAGTATATTTGAAATCCAGGTGTAACATTTTTTTATGAATCGTAATACATATATATATATATATATAATTATTATTATTATCAAACGCATTAAACGTATATTTTTTAAATATAAATGAAATGAAATACATCTTTTAGCGTTAATTTGGTAACTTAAAGGGCAGGGCGTACATTGTAATAATTTTATAATAAGATGCTCTGGTAATCAATGTATAAGATTAGTGCTATACTCCCAAATAAAAATATAATAATAATAAATAAAAAAATAGAGGTCGATTGGTTTGTTTTTCATAATAATAATTTTTAAAAGTAAAATTTATTTTAATACTTTTGGAACCCCCATACCAGACTGAAACGACTAGAAACCGCCCGACGATTTCGACTACTGCAGCACTTACTAGACAAACGATCTAAGCTTTCAATCAATAATAAACGACTCATATATATGACAATAATAAAACCTATTTGGACTTACGGAATGAGCTTTGGGGCTCCACTAAACCATCGAATTCCTCTCGTATCCAATCCTTACAATTCAAAATCCTTCGTAAAATCCTCAACGCTTCTTACTTTGTCACAAATAAAATCATCCATAAAGACCTTAATGTTCCATATGTTTCCAATTTGGCCCAATCCAGATACCTGTCATTCCATAACAAACTGCAGAACTATCCGAATCCTCTCGTTTCAAACCTTGCTTCCTCCTAGATCCCTGATAATCCTCCGAGGCGTCTGAAAAGAAGATGGCCTCGGGATCTACTAATATAGACATATTATTAGAGTGCTACCAATGGGTAGTTTCTCAACATGTGTTTCATGTCATTATATTATGTGCGAATTTACTAGATGTATTTTTTGTATACAGTTGTAAATAGAAAAAAAAAGGAAAGAATCATTTTTTTAATCTTAATTTTACCTTTTCTTTTACTCAAGGAACCCTTAACCCGTGATACTTTAAATGAAATATTAAAACAAAATGTGATAATAACCACCATACTTCCTCTAAATTGGGTTGTACAATAAATAATTTTATAATATTATTTAAGGTCTAATTAAAGAAAACGCACGAGGTTAGACTTTATAATTGTTGGAAATAAACATGAAAGTTTCGAATTACATTATATAGAATTAAAAAAAAAATCATTACATAATCATCTTTGTAAAGCCATTAATGGGTTTTTCATATGAACATTTTCCATTTTGGAAAGCTTGTGTTCGCAAAGCTATTGAATAGTGGGTCTATAAAAAAGCTCCGCTACGGTATTAGAACCAATTTCACCATTACTAATTACACAACTTTCATGGTTTGTGTATATTTCAACAAGCCTTTACCATTTCAAACCAGTTCTGCTTGTTTTAAACTTGAGCAAACTTACGGCGGGTAATTATGGCAATTTTAATCAGTTGATTCAAAGGTCAGTAATTTCAAAACCTTGAGTATATAATGGTTTCTTACATATTAACATTTATAATTGGACGCTAAGCGAAGGTAATAAAATTATAAATAGGAAGAAATACCGACATTTTATCTACAAGCTAGATGCATACTTGACTATGAAATTAAAATCATTAATTATATAAAAAATCTTATATTGCTTCTTTGCAAAAAGTGTCCTTATTTAGTTGCCTCCTTATGGATAACAACTAGAAATTTTTAGGTTGATTTCAAATAAAATTTCTTCAAATCGATTTTTTTCTTGGTCACAGTCATGTTCCCTGTTTTCATTCGTTCGATAGGGTACAAATAATTTTGTTCTCAGGATCACCACTCGCCATTTAAGTTTTTGACATCAAGGCCGTTTCATGTCCATAACTTATCACTCACTACTGTAAAACCTATATTGATGACATTTTAAGTTAAAATGTGGTTTATCAACGAAAAAATTGCATTCAATAAATTAACTTACTAATGCCCAAATGTATCTTCTTAGGTCCACCTAAACGGTCAATATTATTGAACCTTGTACAAATATAGAATAATATTCTTGAATTTGGAATATATATTACAATTGTTACAACATACTCCTCAGAAGGAGAATATATTCGATATTGGCACAATAATATTGACTATTAAAAAAAATTGGCTAGTTTCATTAGATTCTGGCTAGTTTTATTAGATTCAATGCTGGAGGAAAGTTGAATATTGGTAAAAAAAAAAATTGTTTTATATCAATTTTATCGAACTTCATCCACTAATTTTCCATACGCACATGCATTTTTCTGCTTCACCGAAAAACAAAGGAAAAATTAAGATGGAGGAAAGTTGACTTAAAAAAACAGAAATCCAGTATCAGTTTTATCAATTCCATACCCTAGTTTCGTTTGTGGCTTCGCAATTGCACGTAATGCACTTGTATTTCAAAAATGGATTATTCAATTCAATTCAAATTTCATCAAACAATTCAAATTACAGATGTTGTCAACAGCAATTCAGGAAGTGGTGGATGGAATTCAATGAAAGATATATAGCATCATTTTTTTTTTTTTTTTTTTTTTTTTTACAAATATCCAACTTTGAGGCAAATCGAGTTGACCGTTTTTGAAATTATATCCAGGCCCAAGTAATAAACGGATTTGAAGAAATTTATATGAATGAGACCAACCCGCGCCATGTTTGAAAATGTCATTGAAGTTAGTATAATCATACTAGATCACACGGATTTGACCACATATGTTATGATGAAAAATTCAACCCTCTACAGCTATGTATCTATATGTCTCATCTGCAGGTGTGGTATGGCAGTTTGTACAGAATAAAAGACTTTTAAATTATCCAACAACTGAAGCTGTAAACCTCACCTTAAGCTACCCTGTTCTAGCCGGACTGATCGCAAACAAAAGTCAACTAACCCAGTGGGAATCTATCAGAATCACATTTAGGCTAGGGTCTCTACCATATACGAGACATTATAGAACAGCGTAAATTTTATAATTCTTAGGTTAAGGGATCTAGTTATAGCTTAGCCTTGAAGTGCGTTATAGAAGTTAACTAAACTACTAACGGTTGGCCAATAGATACCATTTTTTTTTCCAACCAAGTATTTAAAAGAGCTTTCTTTTGAAAATAGCCATTTACTTACCGCCGCATCCTGCGCAGACTTTGACACCACCGTTGTTGCCGTGGTGGTGATGGTGGTGGTGGGGGAAGTGGTGCTCGACGTGGTGCCCGTTGGCGTACCCTCCGGCGTCCGGTGGTGGCGAATGTGGGGAGGGCAGCTCCGAGTAGGGGTGGTAGTGGGGGTTCATCGTTGTCGCGGCCAGCTTGCTCTGCAACACCCAAAAACAACAATTAGCAAAAGATCATCCTTAATAATAATAATAATAATAATAAATCAAATGAATATAACAAATAAAAAAATTAACAAAAGTTGAAGCAGAGTTATGATATAAAGTAACCTAAATATGGCAATCTAAGAAGCGTTTTTTCAAAAGTAAAGAATCAAGCATTACAGAAACTAGATGTCAAATAATTTGTAAATATTTGAGGTATTTATAAAATATTTTCTTCAATAGTACAGTAAATAGAGCTGAAAATCCACTTAACTGTAAAAAGGCTTGAAATTCTCCACATGTTTGAATCATACAATAGTAAAAAATCAATAAAAAGTAATAAAGTATTTAAGCAGAGTTTTGCACATAGACAAATTATATTCTCCCAGTAGGTGAGCAAAGACAAAGGACCCCAAAATCGAGCAATACTTTTTGGTTATTGTACATTTAAGAGAAGGAGAAGAAATTGTAACTATATAACGAATCTGATTTTGTCAGAGTTATTTATTTCCATTGAATAATATTAAATTTTGTTTTAATCAAGAACAATGGTAGCAGTCATGATGTATGGATTTGTTGGTTACATGAAAGCAGTACCTGCCCTAGACATTTGGGCCCCCTGGGCAATAACGCCATCTCCCCTACCCTTAAAAATATTAAATTTATTTCTTAAGTTATATAATATTACGTAATATTTGAATTTTATGGTATTCAACATATCTCAAATACATTGGCATATTAGTAGGCTAAAATTAATTATTTTAATACGTTTTGTGACTATTTTTTCCTATTTCTTACAAGTGGCAAGCACCCCTAAAGATAGACCGGCGCCCCCAACAGGCGCCCTTCCTAGCGTTTGTACCGGATGCGCCAGCCTCAGGTCGGCACTGCATGGAAGAGAACATTGACGATTGCTCGAAGGACTTTGGACTATTGGATGCGGTAGATAGGTTTTAGGATATTTTTGTAGGTTAGTAATCCGTATCAAAAAGAAAGTTGAGATTTTCTTTTCAGTAGTCTATAAAGCTGGAAACCTCATCTGTGCAAAGTAACTCAACTCCATAGTTATAAACTAAGAAGATTGACTTTAGTAAATCGTTAGAGTTGAATGAGAAAATGGGAAAGAAAATATGGAAGAGAATGCTATTCGCATTAAGAGATTCGGTAGATCTTACATTGGAAGGATACATACGTATTCAATATCACAACTTTACTTAAGACTGCGACTTTAATTAATTGCACATTAATAATTTATTACAGGTTAATAATAATTAATCATCTCTAGCTATAGAATATTAAGATGGGTGAAACGCTCATAAGTGATTGAAACGGATCATTGTATTGAGCACATCGTTGAACAAATCTTTCGGAATGAGTTACATCATCATTAATATTATTTTGACCAACTCATTATAATGAAGCTAGATGTCAAGCACCGGTTTTTAGTGTTAATTATACGATTCATTCTGACAGTATCCCTAGAAAGGATGGTATCGACCATCTTTAAATTGTTAATTGTTTTTAGCATTTCAATACTATGATCGCAGGTTTGCTATTTGTTTTAATAATTTTTTTTATATTCTAAATTGGACAACCATCAGGAGTCAAACTAGGCAGAGGTAAGTAGATATTTTTGAGATATAAAACCTTCGTTATTTTAACTTCCTTTACTTTTTCAATAATAAAATATAAGGTTTATACGTATATATTTATTTAATACATACGTATAAAAGTATATTACGAAATGACGAGTGTAGCCGAACCGAACCGATCGGAGGCTATAACGAACACGGGGACGAGGAATAATGAACAACTGTACTGGCCAAGGGGGAAAAAAAAGCTTCAACTTTTATTAAAGCGTTGCCTTACTTCAATTACTGAGGCCGTAGTAAGTCCTAGTAATATACGCGCACACACTATTTCTGAGAGGAGAATGGAACTGCCCTGCCCTTTATTAAACACGGACTACCTATTTATGCAAATCGTATTAAAGTTGTGATTGCTTTTTTTTTTTTTCTTTTATTTACTAACTTCTACTGGTTATTTCTCTTATAACCCTCCCCTCACCCAACATTTTCCTTTTATCAACCGGGGGAGACAGCAATGAAGTCTAAAAATTTTAATTTAATTTTTGCTTTATTATTACTTTTCCACTTTTAATTTAAAATATTAAATTAAGCCTGTAGCATATTTATTATAATGGAGGTACTGTAGAGTATTGTTGTTTTTGAATACGAAAACATTCTTTTGTCAGGCAAAATAAAATAAATTTTAGAGAGAAAATATATTTGTATTTTTAAAAAATAAAATAATAGTTTGCTATTTTAATGCATATATGATTATGTATTGGGTTGGCAAATAAGTCCTTTCGGTTTTTCAGGGTGAAATAAAACTCAATGTATTATAGACATAATTCATCAGATAAGAAATGTATAAAAATTACAGAAAAACCTAAAGGACTTATTTGCCAACCAAATATTTATTTAAAACCCTTTTCAATCTCACAGCCTTTTATTTTATATTTAAATTATTTTTATAAATATATAAAAATTACTATTTTTTAAAAAATAATAATTTTTAAATGCAACATAAAAGGCTGTGAAATCAAAAATTTTTAAATAAATGTATAATCAAACATAAATTAAAAATGAATAATTATTAAAAACAATTCACCAAAAAATACGAATAACCAAAATAAGGTTGTTGATCATAATAATAGTTTGCAATAGCTAAGCGAATAACAGCAAATATTTTCAAAATAATGATTATTAATGTATGATTAATACGGAATGAGATATTTGTAGGTGTCTTGATTTACTATTTTTAATAACAGAGATATTAATTTATAATTTATGCACGAATTAACTAGCTATTTATCCATGTTTCAGGACATCATATTTTTACCAGCAGCATTAAAAAAAACATGAGACACAACAATAATAATTTTTTTGTAAATTTCTCTATACTAATGTCGCAGCACATGAGACCAAAATGTTAAATGAATTAAATGAAAGATAAATTACTAATACGTTTTTTTAATTAATCAGAAATTTAATTTGATTTTTAAATATAGTAATATCTTTTATTGTCATATTTATGAGAATGACTTGAATACGGTTTTTTATTCTACATTTTTCCTCCAACCTCCTGGCTTAATCTTTCCTCTCATCAGCACACAGTCAAACCTTCGTCAGCCCTTTGATGACTTTCTCGCCCCGAAGGATTGTGACACCATCCACCCACCTCCAGGGAAGGGAATCGCCGACCGCGATGAGAAGGAGATAAGACAGATGTCGAAGATAAGGGACCCTTTTTGCTTCTCTTTCCGTTCAAAAAATAACACTTAATTGAGATTCCTATTTAACGGCCTTATACCGATTATCTTAGCATATTTGATCTTTTACAGCAAAAAGCTTTCAGATGTTCTCTCACGATAAAACAAATGAATGGATACATTAGTGTTCCGTTTTATTTTTTCTTTCTCTTACTTTTCTCCGACACCTCGCGTGCTATTTAATATTTTTAAAAATATTACTACTCTGGTATTGGTTATTTAATTTATTATTTATGAATTGTATTTAGATTTAAATTGTGCTTTATAGGATTAATGACATATTATTGTTAAAACTATTGACTAATAGCTTGTTTATCTTATTGACCTATCGTTGATTATATTGTTAGGGATTAATGGTGTTTAGTTTTCTAAATGGAATAGAGTGAAGGACGTCAGAAATGTCAAGGCAGCCTCGATGTTTCCGTAAGGCTCCCTTCTTCCTGTCTTTTATTCTTATTTTTAAAACAATTATTATTTTTTGTTTGCTCCCCAATGTAAATTATAAATTATAATGAATAATAAAAATTCAATTATTAAAATTTGTTTTAACGTCACAATGACGTCATCTAATTAAGCTGTAATTTTCTCAACTTTATTCGCGTACTGTTTTTCTAATTTCCATCTCCAAAAATTGTTTTTTCAAACCCTAATATAACATTTTAACTGTCATATGAGGAGTTATTTCTGTAGGTGATGTACAATAAATTATTGAGTAGAAAATTGACTTGCACAATCACAATTCACAAATTTCAACAAGTTCTTCGCCGCTAGAACTTTCGACATTTTTATGGATAATTTCTTTCCATATTCTAGTTCCCAAATTTATTTTAGTAAATTTTGATTCTTGGATTCTTGAGCTTTGAAAAGTGTTCACCAACCTGTCATTGGAATGAAGTTGTAAGTTCATTCTGGATTTTCCTCTGAACGTTCAAATTCTGTAGGTTTTCATAGAGAGCCAAATAAAGAGCAAGATGCATTAATAATTTATATAAATACATACATACATACATACATGTATGTATATATATATATATATATATATATATATATATATATATATATATATATATATATATACAGAATTATTGTAGGAGATTAAGTGACAATTAAAACCTAAAGAGCTTTTATTTCATTATAATCTCCGACAAAAGTTCTCAATCTTGTATTTCTTGCAGTATCTACTATCTTGTAATTATTAACCATTAATTTTGTATAGTATTTATTTCTTGTTGAGAGCTACAAAGTAGATGGAATCAGGAAACGCAGGCACTCAACAAATATATTACGTTCCATTTATGTTTTTTTGTTGTTTTTTTTTTGCTCTAATGGTGGAACAACCGACGAAATTTACAAAATAATTTTTATTGTTGTGTCTCATGTTTTATTAATGCTGCTGCTAAAAATATGATTCTATGTCCTGAAACATGGATAAATAGCTAGTTAATTAGTGCATAAATTATAAATTAATATCTCTATTATTAAAAATAGTAAATCAAGACACCTACAAATATCTCATTCCGTATTAATCATACATTAATAGTCATTATGTTGAAAATATTTGCTGTTATTCGCTTAGTTATTGCAAACTATTATTATGATCAATAACCTTATTTTGGTTATTCATATTTTTTGGTGAATTGTTTTTAATAATTATTAATTTTTAATCTATGTTTGATTATATATTTATTTAAACCTCTTTTTGATTTCACAGTTAAGTCGTATTGGTTTTAATTTCTTATATATTTCATGGCGATCATGAAATTTAATGCTGTTCTCCAGTCAACCCTACTGTTTCAAGACAATCGATTTCAAATTTTCTTCTTCCTTAAACGTGGCAGACAATAGATACGTTTTGTCTCAAAAAGTTATTTACGGTAATTAACGTAATAACGGTAATTATTAATTATCCTTATTCATGCATTGCGTATTATTTCTAGTTTTTTTTTTTATCAGTTCCTATAAGACTGGAATTTCTAATTTTTTTTTGCTCATTTCGAACAGAACTTTATTTCATCAAAATTGTCAATAAAATTTGTTATATATTTTTTTAAAAATATTGAAAAATTTAAAAAGAAATTCTAAAAATTGTAAAAATTCATTCAAGAAAAATTATATGTGTTACCTTAGCCAACTTACTTTTTATTTTTCATATAAACGTCTATTAAAAAACTATTTAAAAGAAAGAATTCTTTGTAAAAGTCATTAAAAAAAATTTCTTGTTCAAGTAACTCATTTCGACAAAAAGTGAATTAGTATATGATAATTGTAATGGAAATCAATCGTTTAAAATTATATGTGATATATTATCTTACCTACATCTAATATATAATATCTAAATAGCCTACTTAATGTTAATTTTTTGCTTAATAGCTTTTTTATTAAAACAAATTTTTTTTACATAAAAGTTTCTTTGAAACTGTCAAAATGGATTTTTTTTTTCGGATTTTAGAAGGGTTAAGTTTTTTGGTAGCTTTTTCTTAATATATGATAAAATTTTATAAATTTTGTTATTCACTGTATTTGTATTTTTATTGGTGTTATCATGAATACGATCTAGAGTAAAACCACGGTAATTTTTAGCTTTGTAGCAGGAGATATAGGTTAAATTTATGAATGGTCCGTGGTACGGATCCCTATCTTTATCAAATAATTAACAAGCTCGCGTAAGGCTTCATTTTACCGTAAACTACAACTTTTTTATCAACGAAAATACTTTGAATTAAGATGTTTTCTAATTAAATTAATAATTTTAATGATTTTCAAAAAAATCACGAATACCATTTCATTTGTTTTTCATTTGAATTTTAAGATAATTTTATCACAAAATCGAGAGAAAATGTGGGCCGTCTGGCCTATTAACCTTGTTATTTTGACATGTAGGTGGAGATCACGCCAAACGGCCCATTACTTTTGTAGACCACCATTTTTCTCGATTTTGTGATCGAATTATCTTACGATTCAGATGGAAAGCAAATTGGTATTGATGAGTTTTTGGTGCCTCCTTAAATAGATTATGTCTACCTATCACTTAATTGAAAATGCCCCATTTACAAGAATTTTCGTAAAGAAAAAAGTTGCGATAAGAAATTCTCCTCGATCTCCATCATCTTTTGAATATTTTGTAAAATTAGCTTCATTAAAAATTATTAGTTGTCTGAACATAATATTTTAAAGAAACTTCATATTTTAAGATAATTTATATATACTTCAAACAACACATTTAAGGACACCATGAAAGGACCTTATGGCAGCCTAGACTAGAAACGACACCTACAGGAGATCCCCCGTACCGAGGGCGTCGGGCAGTCTGGCGGGCCGGGATGAATGAACCGGGACGGGCCGTGAATGGGGGAGTTGTTGTTATCAATAGAAGTCATTAAGTTTTCTTTCGCCCCTCCCCCCTCCCCCCCAGCTCCTGGGATTCCTCGGCTATTACGGATCCGTCACGGACCTCCACGCCGGACAAAAAACTTATAATACTCCAGATTACCTCCTTTTTAACGGCAGTCCTCGCTTTCCCACCGTGTCCCTCCTCTCTGTCACTGTCGCTGATTCATTTATTTCGATTCCAGCTCAAGAATAAAAGCAGACTTCAGATGCTCCAATGGACGAAATTCCAAAATTCTTATAATGATTCAGTACAGATTTCATAGCGGTTAATACTTTGTAAGAGCTTGACATTTATCATGTATTAATCAGAATTATTCTTAGGTATATTAAATGTAGTCCTAAAACAAAATTATTACAACTATTATTATTGTCAGAATGGTATATTTCCCAACCCTCATGAATTTTGAAATTTACCCACTACCGAAACATTCTGAAAAATAAGTTTGATCAAGCTATTAGAAACAGCGAAGAGATATAAGAACTGTCCCTCTGGTATAATATAGTACTCTAGCAATCCTGGAATAAGAAGAAAATGAGTAGCTATAAGAAACATCTACTACAATGACGAACCCCGTCGTCAATATATTCTAAACAGGAGTACACAACCCAATGTGAGGATTTGAAATTCGGACGCGGTTAGGCAGTAGATTTAAAATTTAATATTTTTTATTTATTAAATGAAAGAGGATAGATAACATTAATAATCTATTAATTATATTTTATTTTATGCATACTATAGTTTAAATATATATCCACCTTCCATCCAAAAAAAGAACTTGTACCTCTACAACCAATACATGATTTGGGTTCAAGAAGGTGATTTGACCAAGATCACGCTCAATCGCCAGTTTGTTTTCTTAATTAAACATGAATTGATACTAGTTACCGTAAGATGGAGTAACTTTGGGACTGGATGGGTAACATTAGGATAGAGGGTAAAATTAATTTGTGGTGATTCCATGGTGGATAAACTGTGTTGTTTCAGTCTGCAAAAACGTGCTTTGTGTAGGCATGTACTGCACTACTACCTTGCGGCGCACTAAACTTAAGGCACAAGCGAAAATTTCATAAAACAAGAATTATGAAAAAAGCATTGGAAATAAACAAAACCTAACTGGACAACGAGTATATTGTAATAGAGTTCTCAGACTGGCACAAGATGGTAGCTGTTGCCTAAGTACATGCCTACACAAAGCACGCTTTTACAGACTTAACCAACACAGTGTATCCTCCACGGAATCTCACAAACAAAATTTTATCCTCTGTCTCAAAGCCTCCATCCAGTCCCAAAGTTGTTCCATCTTACGGTATAATATAAAGGCTGGGTTACCCCCAGGAGGGTGTCAGTTCATGCGATAGAATAAATTATTATCTGTCACAGCCGAATTCGAATCCGAGACCTGAAGCAAACGAGCACAGTACATTAATCATTGAGTTGTCCTGGCTTCTTTCTATATATATGTCTATATTATATAGAAATAATTATTACGAAGTAACAGGATAAAGGAGAATGGGAGCAGTACAGTCGTGGCACGTATAAATGTAGGATATTTTGTCTTGATTATGGTACACTATATAAAAAGGTTAGTAACTTATCTAGAAGCAATGTAAGGTCATTTATTTTTGTTTTCAATATATCCTAAAAGTGCAAAAAGAAGAAGAAAGAGTGTCCTTCATGTCTGAAAAAATCCATACCTAAACAATAAAACTGAAAATAGATTAAAAAAACTAAAGCTTTATTAGCGATAACAAATAACCAATTACAAAATTTAATAGAAATCTCGAAATTATTGGTCATTTCGAAAAAAAGTAAAAAAAAAAATTATACTTGACAGATTCCTTTTTCTTCTTTAAGGAAAAGCAAAAATTTCCAGAAGTCAAAGAACATAATAAGAACTGCTTGACGGAGGTTAAATCACGAAATTTATTGTTGATTGATATGTAGGGAATGTCGTATCACGCAAATTCATGAAAATTCACATTTTATATAAGGTAGTATAGATCGCTTTTCCAGCTCTCTAGAACGATGGATTTTAATAGATCAGATATCAAACAAATGGAAATTTGATGGAGAAGTGATGGATGCCAATTTCAAGAATTAAAACCTAACTACAATAAAAGCCATAGAGAAAATATGGAAATTTTAAAACTCAGATGCATTGAAAATTCGAAGGAACAAGACGGGATGAATTGTTTAAAAAAATTCAATAATGACATAGTTTGAGATAAATCGTAATTATTGCCAAGAGTGTACGCAGGTTTCATATTAGAGGGGGGGGGGCGACGATTCAGATTCAGATATTCAGACGAAAATGTGAGATAGATAAATGATTTCAAACTAAATCATCCTGTACTAAGTAGTTTATTATTATTACAATTTATAAATATCTGTATATGAAATATAATAAATACATAGAACAACAACTATTAAAAATTAATTGTCTCCAATTTTTGGCAAACTTTTTGTATTATATTATGTTTTATTCTACTTTAAATTATTTAGCAGCCGGTGCCCAT